AATCCCACAGGGATCAATGAACGCTTTTCATTCCACTAATTTATTCATGTTTTTCTCGTTGCCATGCACCCACCAATAACGTAGCTCCATTTTCTGCCTTTAAAAGCACACACAACCCACAATTCCTCTATTCGCTCCGACGAAGGGCTAACGCTCGAAACGTCAGCTTTTGTAATCATTACGGTGGCCAATTTACCATTTCAACTTTGTTGATATATCCAATTATTGATTATACTTAAGTTTGGTTTATTTCATACAGTCATTGGTTGCAAGGGTGAGCTCTATTCGAGTACAGAGCATGGAGCTGAGCTTAAAGCTGTCATGCCAACTGCCAATTCGGCAGAATTTCGGAACACACTGGACTGCAAGTAGCAACCAAACAAAGGTTTAAAAACATGCCAAGTACTGTTAGCAGCATTTTTCTTCTTACATAGAGTAAGGTAATATTACACATTCCATAAGAAATACTCACCACTAGCATATCATTAAAAAGAAAGATAACTCTGGGGTGAGCTTTCTCCTTCTTGTTTGGATCTCGCACATTGTAAAGAGGGGTCAGCAATCGAAGCTGTCTATGAAGAGCAGCCAGTGTCTGGGAAGAAAGATTTGGAGGTATTAATAATTATGATCAAACCTTGTTTCTCGGACCATACACAGATAGTGTGCTAGAGTGGTTTGTGAAGAAAATTGTTTTTATATTTGTTTCTTTTGTCTGCTATTTGAGGCCCAATTCACTGATCAGTGTAACTGATCAAAAGTCATTTAATCAACACTTTAAACAGTGCTTTCAATAAGATTTGAAATAGGTGGCTACCTCGGTACAACACCTGCCGGAGAGCGACTTGATTGCGACTTAGCGTGGCGACTGCGACTTGAGCGCGGTGAAATGTACCCGGCGACTCGCAACAGAATAGCCGCCGGAGCTCCGGCGGGTGCCAGGTCTTATTGAAAGCACTGTTTAAACCTTGAGAAAAACTTCTACCAGACAGAACATTTTTAACATCTAATAATTTGAGAGGTGAAAGTTTCAGGCACAACTGGAAAATATTTTGATTTTAACATCTTGCATTACTCCCAGGTGCCCTTCTTTTCAACAATTTCTTCCCTACTAACAACCTCTACACAGTGAATACGCAGAAATAGAAACCTCTTTCTTTTTCTGGTACAATAATGTCTACTTTAAAAGGCTGGTAAAAATTGTAAATATGAAAATCCCATCACATAATTATGGGACAACTTACAGTCCAAGGTGACCTTGTTCCAACAATTTTTTTACCCAGTTTCTCCACAACATTGACATGATCTTTTCCTGGAGAAAATGCTTTCTGCAAAATTGAACATGGCAAGTGGTGAGAGCGTGCATCAAACATGCTGAATAAACAATAGCCATATCTGTTACAGATCAACAGGTTAAGAGCTTCTCACATTTTAAAAAAAAAAAGAAGCAACTGAACACTGACTGTAATGTACAGTGTTAAATTAAAAAATCCATGACTTTTAGATACCTTTTTTACTCTATTGTAGATCTCTAGCAGACTCTCTTCTGGAAAATCTCCACCATTGTTGGTACCTAATAGATAACAACATCAAGTTCACTAACAGGGTTTTGAAGTGCACATTAAATGAGATTTTTCTAACTGGTGAAACACCATTGTATAAAAAAAATTAATAATAAAAAGTATTAATGGCAAGATCTAAAATTACAACTGACAGCCAACCTTACAACCTTAAACAGCTTAGCCTTTGTATAAACACTGATACTGTGCAGAAAAAAAGTTGAACTCTTTAAAAGTTCATTTTATTCTCAGTAAACAAAACCATTGAATGTTTTAGAAGTTACAAAAAACAACATGTTTTAGATTATCAAATGAATAGTACACTTTGATCAATTTCAACACACTAAATGCCATAAAAATACTATAATCAAGATGAAAAAATCAGGGCAATCAAGTATGTACCCATTTAAAATGAGCAGCAACAAGGAGAGCTCCATGAAATATATGGAGCTAACCACATGATAATGTGATTTGTGAGTTATTCTAAATTTTATCACAATTGGCAACTGGTTATGTCGCAATCTGATTGGCCAATTTGCTGATGTCACACACTGAAAGAATTGTTTTATGTGAGATTGTGGTAAAAAACAAATTGCTAGTGGTTTAGCATGATCTGTTCACTTATAGACAACAGTATTTATCATATTACAGTGGTCATAATTTGCTGTGGGTTCATGAGGCTGCCCCGCTTGAGTCCACAACATTTTTGACAACTGTGATGTTGAATATTATTGTTAATAAGAGTACAGACCAAGCTAAACCACTCTGGATTTGTTAAATCTATGATGAAGAAATGAGAATATATTACAAGGAAAATATACCTCTCAAATTGTTGATGAAATCAGCCTCTGTCATTCTCCGTTTCACATTAGGACTATGAAGATCAGTATTTAACATCACAATGGCAAATGCCAGAATCAGGATTGTGTCCAAAGCACCCTTCTCGTCAACAGGGTTACATGAAACATACCGTGAGGCAAACTCCTGCACAAGACAAATACAAATTATTAAGGACCAGTACCTCTTTCTACTTTGATCAGGCAACTACTAATAGCATGGTGTACAGCCTTACCAGCATGAGTTTTTCAATTTTCTGTGCTTCCCCCTGAAATATCAAAGAAAAAAATCTTTTAAATCATTAAAAACATTATTACGATTTTAGACTGTTTGCGAGAAATAGGGCTGAGGTGCACTTGATTAAATTATTTGTGGGGTACTGAGAAAGAAGAAAAGGAAGATAAAAACTACCAATAATTCTCACAAAATACAAATCCAAACTCAAATATCGAAAAAGAACTTGACACAAGACTTTCTTAAAGTCTAGAGTTTGCGTTGAAAAGACTTTGATTACAAAAAAAACTGGTTGGAAGGTGTTCAAGAACTTGTGAAATTGTGACTGTTGATCTATTGGAATGTAGCCTGAGTGCAGACAGACTTTCCTTCGTTCCTTTGTTAAGTCCGTCTTAATGAAGGAATGAAGGAAAGTCTGTCTGCACGCAGGCTAGTTGGAATGAAGCCCTCCTTTATTTAATAATATTTCTTGTTATATTTATCATAAACATGTTTTCTGGCAAAATAAGATAACTAGAAAATGCAAATGCAATAACAACTGAAAGGCTGGAATATATTCGCAGTAACAGTGTTTAGAGCCATTCTGAAACATCTTGACATTAGTTTATGTTTAGAGCTGTTCCAAAGGATCTCGATTTTATTGAGATCCATTCTTGGTGATTCCTATGACCATTAAGGTTATAGAAAACAAGTTTTGAATATAAAAAGGTAAGAGGAGAACCTACTGGTAATCTAAAGGAAGTCTGGTATACTCGCAGAGCTTCATCAACCTCCATTCCAGTAAAATCCATTGACTGCACAAAGTACCTAAAAGTATCAAAAAAAAATTAAAAAAAAAAAACAACAAAAAAAACACAGAGATGAACAGCATGTTTCACTTCTTCATAATACGATTGAGAAAAGGTAAATGAACAAAGTTTTCCATAATTTTCTCCACCTAAGTTATTAGCATTCCATTTTAAGAATTGCGCAGAATTTGAATTAATTAAATTAAATGTTTTGTACCCTGTGTAAAATATTAATTTAAGTTACAGTTTCTGCTAGCCACTTACTTTAAAACTTCCATGTTGAATTCATTTTGCAAATTGCCCAGGTACTCTCCAAGTTTCTGTTTACTAATCCCTGATTCGCTCAACAGAAACTTTGCTACCACTTCAGGGCTGTCTTCCAACACTTGATGGGCCACAAGATAATTAATTCCTTTCTCTGGCTTCCTGTTTAATCAATGTTCAAACCATAGACAAATCAATTTGAGGGAGATAAACCATGTTATCAAAAGTTAATTAAACAAGCATCACCCAATCAACCAATCAATCAGCTAGTTGCTCAGTCAGCCAGTCAGACAGACAGTCTTTCTATCTGACTGTCCATCTGGTGGTATTAAGTCATTCTGTCCGTCAGTCAATCTATCAATCAATCAATCAATCAAATGGCTTTTTTTGCTAGAACAAAAACTATAAATCTAAGGTAAAGTTACCAACCATTTAGTTTCAATCATTGTTCACAATATATTGTATAGGGAAAAGCTTTGATGAGGTCTGTCTTAATCTGAACAAATTCCGTGATGAATTAAGACTCTGGAGCCTTAAGTCTAAGTTGAGCATCCACCCTATTAAAACTGAGGCCATGATTCTTACTAAGCAGGGTTTTATTGGTCCTGCTGCCCCAATATTGTTTGGAGACAAGCATGTCAACGTTGTGGATCATACTACTTGTTTAGGACTGACTATTGACAGCTGTTTGTCTTGGTCAAAGCATATTTGCCATGAAAAGAAGCAATTCTCACAAAAAGTTGGTGCCTTAAAACGTATGAGGCAATTGCCCCCTAAAGTAAGAGGAAATTTATTTTAAATCCATTATACCAGCAGTGATACATGGTATAGTTGTGTGGGGGAATTGTAGTTCTGCTATGCTCAACTCCTTGAATCCTATACATGATAGAGCAGCTAGGTTAATTCAAGATTATCTTCAAAGTCTCAACTGGCTTCCCTTGTCATACTTCTATAAAAGACGCTTACTGCTGTTCATGTTTGATGTTATCAAACATAATGATCCTGACGACCTTGCATCTTTATTTACTTTAAAGTCTGGTAGTAGACCTTCACGAAGGGGAAGCCAATTTGTTATTCCACGTGTCAAATATGAAATTGGAAAACAATCTATTCAATATAGAGGACCAACAATTTGAAAATTTCTTGATTGATTAATTAATATAAATGAGTCGATGAGTAAAGACAAATTCAAGCAAATTTTGCATAGATTTTCCAAGGACATTAATAACTTCTCAGTTAGAGTTTCTATCATAGCTAATAAACATGATAACTATGTATATTTTTAACTTGTTTTTATTTTTACATTTTACATCATCCTACTTTTATTTAATTTATTTTAGGCAGGTCCACATCAGCTTTTTGCTGCGCCATTGTAGGTAACTTAACCTTCTTTACCAAATAAATGTATGTATGTATGTAATGTAATCTAACCCGTAAAATATTTATGAGAAAGGTTCAGTACATGTCTGTTAGTGTGTCTTGTGTTATGTTGAAAAAAAATCCATCCAACAAAAGGGAAAGACCATAAAACGAAGCATACCTGTTGAAATGGTTTATACCAATCCTGGTCTCTAATTTCTGGGGTTTTGTTCCAGAATCAAATTCAGAATAAAGACTGGAGGTGTCATCATCAGTGCTAGTAAGACTTGGTGCGCAGATTCCATCCAAACTGTCCACACTGCTAAGGTCTCTTCTCATTTCATCCCCTAAGTAAAGTTACAATGGACACTTAAACTCACTTATCATAAACTCCTAGGTAGAAGTTGTTATCATGATCTAACACTAAATTCTTGTAACTGATTTACCAGGAAATGTTAAGCAGCTAGAGGGGAGAACTAACAATTACATCTTGGGAGTTAAAGGTTATGATCCCAACCTGGTTACTAACAGCTGACTAAAAAGAATCAACTATGAACCTCACCAGTTTCCAGGTTATCCACGAGGTAATTTTGGTTTTATCAATTAACTGAGTTGATAATGCAAATTGGCCACTGCAAAGAATTTCAAAGCTGACATTTTGAGTGTTAGCCCTTCACCATTCGCTCTGACAAAAATGTCATCTTTGAAACTCTTTATGGTGCCAATTAACAGTGATTTTCTAACTCAATTGATAAAACCGAAATTACCTTGTTATACTCCCCCACCGACGCAGCACCACAGTTTCTTCATCAGTAACCAACCTCCTTTATGTAGTTAAAATGATCAAATATGAAGTGCCTTGATTTCTTTGTTGGTTATGAAACACTCAAGACATTAAGAAAGATGGTAAGTTTTGAGCTCGGTAGAGAAATATAAAGATGTTCTTTATCTAGTCACAAGCATGGGACAAAGGAAAAATTCCGAGTTCCCATGAGGAATTGAACCTCAGACCTTCAGATTCCATGCTCTGATGCTCTACCACTGACTTGCAGAGACTCTATGGTAAGCAAGGCCCACCATGAAGTTCTTATTACACGACTCGGGCAGTCAGAGGGCCAATAACTAAAATCAACCAATCAAAATGCTCTATAGCCGGTCAATATTCTCTAAGTATTGGACCGGGCACTGTCCCGAATGGTCCCGAATGATACCGCACTTGTGTCCCTTTGAACTTCAGTCATATCATAAATCTCTTATTAACCAAGCTTGCTCAGGACCATACTGGAAGAATATCAGCCCTCGGTCTTTTTGTACAGACCTCGCTGTGCTTGGTCCGTACTGTCAAGACTTCGGGCCAATATTCTCCCAGTACAGCCCTCGCGCTTGGTTAATAAGATATATATATTTGACACACATCCTGCATACTGCTAGGATTGGCAATGTTGAAAGCCCAAAGGTCTGAGGGATCAGACTCAGACTCTCCCTCATGGGGACTAGATAAAAAACATCTTTCTATACTCAAGATAGTTATCAAACCTGAATCGTCACTCCCATAGGTAGAGCCATCATCAGTGAGTGTTTCTCTTCTTGGTCTACCAGGCAGGTCTCCATTGGGAACCTTATTAGGGACTAGACCATCCTTCACAAAAGCATCATCAGGCAGTGTCTCCACATTATCCACAACCTCCACCTTTACATAATGTTCCGTTTCACTGGTGATACTTTCTTTCCTCATACCCACCTTCTCATCCAATGCTTCTTTTTGCTCAATCAGTTTGGCATCCACTCTATTTCCTGCTCCTGTAAATATTGATGTAAGATCTGTTGGAAAATTATCCCGGGAAGAATTCAATGCAATTTCACTGCTATACATTTGGGGTTCTTCACCAGTTAAACTGTTGATATTGTCTATAATAAGTATTGACTTGACTCTTTGACTTCCACTCTTCCTCTTTGTGATTCGCAGCACAGGTGTCACTTGTGCTTCTGAGGAATTCTCCATCCTGGGACTTGTAATTTGAGATTGAGGATCACTGTTTGATTTAGGTCTAAATGGATCTTTCAAAGGAGATCCTGAGTATGCCCTCATCCTTCTAAATTGTTTATCCATTCTATATTTACGGTAGTATGATTGAATAACTCGGGCTGCCCAATGAGCTTTGTCTTTGCCTCCATATTGTCGCTCCAAAACCTTCACGCTTCTGTCTTGAAGTTCTGGACTAAGTTCATATTTTTTTGAAAAGGATTTCTGTCGGTTTAGGCTGTCATTTCTTTTGACTGCTTTGAAAGTATCACGCTTTACAAGTTTTGGAGAGTTTTGTGGTGTTTCTGCAGCTGTTATTGTGATCATGGGAGATGTTGGGGTCTGAGGAGTTGTAAAAACATCAGAACTGCCTCCAGTTGAGCTGTTTCTCTCTGGCGTATCCTGAGAAATCTTTCCGGAATCTACAGCCCTGGGGTAACAAAAAAAGGCATAATCTAATTAACTCCTCCTTTACTTTTAACCCTTTCACTCACAAGATCTCATAAATGCCTTAACTGCCAACCTCACTGAGAAGTCCTGTACCAGTGCAAATTGACACATCACTTGTCTCCTTGATGTTACATCAATATTTTAAAGAGACATTATGTCTTTGTCACTCATGGTAGTTGAAAGGGTTAAACTACATCCAAGCTTGAATGCAAGTATAAAAAATTAAGAATTAAAAAGTAGCTTGAGCGATAAAAATTAAGCTGGAGAATTCTGCATAGGGGAACAGACAAGTATTTGATCTCCACTGCCTAACAGAAAGCCTGTTTCAGTTAAGGCAAGGTCTACACCCCTTCATTTCCAAGATCTAAAAAGTGATTCTCCTTACCATCTACCATATATTTCTCATAATGTTAGTCCTTAGAGTTTGGTGTTGAACCCAAAAACCCAAATTTTTTCCCATGATTGACACTTTTCTTTATTCTCAAAACCAGTTTGCTTGATATCATAATGGTATTGTAAAGAGAAATCACTTCTTGATCACTAGTGGGAGTGAAAGGGTCAAAAAGCTCATTAATCTTCTACCTTAAAAGAGAAATCAAAGCAGGAACATTTACCACTAAACTAAAGGGAAGATTGCTTTTCTTTTCATCATTTAGTTCTTATTAAACGAGCGGGAGGTCTACATAGGAGAATCTTGACCAAGGTAGCCAGTACAGACCGAAAGCAGTGAGGTCTGTACCAGAGACGCAGGTCAAGATTCTCCCATACAGACTGACCTAGCTCAGTTAATAAGATGTTTATTATATGGCTGTGTCTTGTATTGCCAATTTTTTATATTCTTTGTACCTTTTTTTTCTAGACCGGTCTAGATGCCAGTCTAGATGGGAAAATCTAGACCACTTTCAATATTGATTTCAGCCAATCAAATTTGTGAATTTGGTAGTTCCCAGTCCTTGTGAGACACAGCCATATAATAATAAAGAATAGCATTCTAAACTTGTTTGAGGTACATATCTGACAAAAGATTGAAATTGAAAGGAAAGAAAGTGATCATTTCCTTGAATTGAAATGTTCATGTCAATAAGTTATGAATAGTTATTGTCAAATTCATTTTCCTAGGCAATGTCTTTGGAATGACGCTGACAGACTAAAGTGGTTATATTTGTTTAGAAAACAGGGAGACATTTCTGGCATTGAATTAATGAGGGATGAGCTTCCAAAATTAAAATAACCTCTTAGGCAAGAGTTCCATATAACCCTAGACATTAATTATGCATAGAGTGTTGCAAAGAAACCTTTATATTTAGTTTTATGAAATGGAATGCATAATTAATTATGGGGTTCTATGGAACTCTTTCCACCTCTTAAATACCAAAAGCAATTCCAATGTTTATTTACTTTAAGCACTTATGTGAATTTCGTGGTCGATAATGGGTTTACGAATAAAAGTAACCTGATATATTAGTATTAAACATTCTTTCTAGCTTATTATTGTTGATGAATGCTGTGGTTAGGTAAATAGTTTTAAATGAAAACACAGCGCACTTTAGACCTAAGCTCCACGTGCCAGCGCGGGTAAAAACAAAGAATCTCCCGCACGCCAAATTCGATGGAAGGTGCTAGCTTATATTACATGTACAATTTTGCTTTCGTCACATTAGATTTCGAAAGATTTTAACCATTAGAAAATAGCGCCAAAGAAAAATGGTTCATATCTTTTTAATACGATTAGCATAAAAATAAGAACATATACATGTGGTAAGGAAATATGCAATAATTTCTCTCAAGGCTATTCGTAAATTTAATTTTCATGAATTAGTTGTGCTCCGAGGTGAAAAGGTGGTATGTTTTGAGTTTAGGACATATCTTATTTCTCTCTGATTTCCTCACCTGTTTTCACCATCCGGTATATTTTTTGCACCAGTGTTGACGTTTGTTAAGCTGTCTTCCCTTCCCCTTGCAATATAATGGCGGAGTTGATTCCGCTCCTTTTCGAGTTCTTTCACCCTCGACCTGAGATTTTCAATCTCTTCGTTTTTTTCGCGTATAATTTTGTCTTGCTTCCAAATACAAGCTTTTAGAGTGTCCACTAGAGAGTCGACACTCGTCAGGGCCTCTAGCGTAGATTTTACCGAACTCATTTTGCTATTAGGTCGTTAACAAATGGCAATTCAACCGCTAATCCACACATTGTACCAGTAAATGATCAATCAGTGACCGCCATTTTGTTTACATCGCCTTAGCGAAGATTCCTGAGCCCAGAGAATAGCACGTGATAACTCATAACCAATAGTGTGTAGCACAACTTATGATGACGAGCTCACGAGAGATTGTCGGAAATGTTCGGTATGGAGTCCCACATACGATCGGAACTTCACTTCCGCTTGAAACATAACAGTGGGAAATGAACGCGAATATTGCCCTTTTGAATTTTTTGGCGTTACACGGCGCTGTCCAGATTTTTAAAATTTTTTTAACTTATCTCTTCAAATGTTTAAGTGATAAGTTCACTTGATCTAATATCACAGAAATCAGTTTTTACAAAAATCTTAATTTGCTCTAGGGTGGAAATGCTGTTTGAAAAATAGTCCATTTTACAGTTGTGTGCTTGGTTGCCAAGCCTTTGAATGGGAGTGAGGCTAGGGTTGATACAAACCTTGCTACCTTTCAAATGTAAATCACTTTGTTATCATGCTAAGTAGATACAGGTCTCTATCACAAGGTCACCTTCAGCCTCACTCTGAGTCAAAGGCTTGGCAACTAAGTACACAGCTGTAAAATAGCCTATTCATAATAAGGGCTCCCCTCCCTTATTATGATGAACCCAGGAGCTTTGATGGTCACCTCCCCCCTCCTTGAGGAGCTTATTGGTTCACTGCAGGTTTAAACAGAAAGAAAAATGGATGGTAGTAGCTGTACATCCATTTGAGGAGTCCGTCTCCATTTTACAGATCAAATAGAAGCATTCATTTTAGAGGACAAAGAAGGAATCCTTTGAACTAAGGAGAGCAGGGAACCCAGGAAACTTGAGTACATGTAGCATAGGTCATGAGAAGAAAAGACTTCATAATAATGCTTGTACAAAGAGACTTCTTTTATATTTATTTATTTTTATGACTAGCTGAATTATACACACATTTTTATTTTGTTCTTAATTATGGTCCATCGGAAGACAGGTGCCTAGATGGTATGACCATTAACAACAATTTGATTGACTCCATGTTGCTATTCTGTTCAGTAATAGATGACAGAAGACGTGCCTTCCGTGCCACTTTTTGCTTTTTACCTCCTTTTGCCATCATCTGTGGTCTATTATTGAACAGACACATGGCAACTTGGAATCTATTTTTGAAACTGATGAAAGAATATCGAGACTGGTGAATCAGATTCTGAATACAGGGCTGTGGTCTAGCGTTACCCAGTGGCCCCTGGTGCATTACTTTCATTCATGGGCTACTTAGGAGTTTTACTTTTTTCATATAAAAGCACATGCTGGGCACCCTGTATTTCAAAGTTTCACAGAAGTGGGCTCCCTTCACTTTTTCTTAGAGCACAGCTTTGGAATACTCACTATCAATATTAACACATTTTATTAGATAATTGCAGCAACTACAAAAACAAAATACCTGTCAGAAGGAGTGTACTTTAGAGCCGTTATTTCAAATAAATCTTTGATATAAAAAATTTGTTTACTTCCAGGACTTGTTCTGAAAGCAATAATAGGTCAAAAACAATCTTTCACATAAAATAAATTTAAGGTTTTGTTTGAATGCTAACTCAAATTTTTGGTAAGTGACAATGGAAATACAAAATATATACAAAAAGCAGTTCTACTTGATAAAAATACCCTTTAATAAATGTAGGTTGAAATGCCTGAGCAAATTTTAAAAAGTAGACAAATACATTGTTAGCATTAGCTCTCCATCAGATTGTAAACTTTTTAAAATTTGCTGTGGTAGCAAGTAAGGGATTGAAAGCAATTCTCTTACTTACTGATGCTGAAAAACAAATTTTTAGAGGCTTTACAATCATAGTAAATATTTTTTACAATCATATGGTAACAAATGCTAATAACTTCCTTAACTGTATCTAACATCACTGTGGTAAAATAATTGATAAGGTACTGGGTTTTAAATTAGCAGTCACAAGGGAATACCGTTTTCTGATGACAAGTTTGAGAAACACACACAAAAGGAAAAAAAAAACAAAACAAAAAAAAACTAAGGTATCTTGTATATATAGTAGTAAAACAGAGCAGCGGATGACTCAAAACTCCATGATCTGATTGCTGATTCTCCCCTCAAACTGATACACATTTCCTTGTAAATTAGTTAAGAGAATTTGGTGTTAGATGAAGATAACAACTTGAAACTGATAAGTTAGAATATTCACATTACCTGTGTTCTGGATATGTATAGATGTTACTGGGAGAAGTTAAATATTTATCAATTCTGGGAGTTCAGGAGTAAAAAGGTGAGTTAACAGAGTAAATGAACTCAACAACAACTTTTCCCAAGGTTGACAAAATGTCAGTCACAAATGATCCTTCTAAGGATTACTCTCATACTACACAATAAAATTTAATTGAATGTAAGATTGAACCCTTATGCTCCAAAGATCATTGAGCTAACGGCCTCCCAGTTAGCTCAATGTATAGAGTGCTCGACTGTTGTGTGGGAAGTCAAGGGTTCAAGCCCCGGCTGGACCAACACTCAAGGTCTTAAAATAATTGAGAAGAATATGCTACCTTTCTATAACATCAAGAAATGGCTAGTCTTCTTGGATAGGGACAAATAAATGGAGGTCCCATCTCCTGCAGGGTTAGGGGTAAGAGACATTAATTTCCCACGCACAAGATTTCTGTATGATGGATGTCCTCCCCTGGGGTGGGATGGGTGGGTTGGGGTTAGTTTAGGTGGGTGAACCTAGTAGGGGACTATGTGTCCTATTGTTCTCTGTACACTGTACAAATCTATAAAAACTCAAAACTCAAAAATCTGTTTGTTAATTCTTTCTCTAGCTGCTAACCATTTTCTTTTTCAAGAATTTGGTGTTAGATCAAGATAAGAACTACTTGATAATTTACAGCAGTATTAGCCTGCAGTGCAGGCGGATTTTGGCGGGGCGAGTAGATTTTTAGGCCGCCATCTTGAATTAGAAAAACAGTGCAGAGTTGGGGCGAGGTAAAACATTTGGGGAAGGGGGGAGGGGGAGAGGAAAAAAAGAAAAAAACCCTTTCCCCTCCTTTTCTTTCCCTTCCATTTCTTTCCTCTCCCCCTCCCCCTCTCCCTTTCCATTTTTTCTTTCCCCTTCTCCTCTCTCCTTCCCCAAATGTTTTACCTCACCCCAACTCTCCACTGTTTTTCTAATTCAAGATGGCGGCCTGAACAACCGATAGGAATATCTACTCGCCTCACCAAAATCCCCCTGCACTGCAGGCTACAGCAGTATCTCATCAAGTGTTTGTTGAGTAATGTATCAATATTACAGGGAGAAGTTACATGTTAATCACTTCTGGCTAATAAAGGGTTAGCTTTGTTTAGTTTAGTTTCGCCGACAGGCAGGGAAACTGCAACAGCTTGTGCCAATTACTGCAGGCCCAGTAAACCCACCCATCTCACCCCAGGGGAGGACATCCACCACACAGTAATCTCGTGCGTGAGAAATTAACGTCTCCTACCCCTAACCCTGCTGTGCAGGCGTGGTGGCCTCATGATTGGTGCACTCGACTCCAGATTGAGTGGTCTGGGTTCGAGTTCCGGCCGGGACATTGTGTTGTGTTCTTAGGCAAGACACTTTACTCTCACAGTGCCTCTCTTCACCCAGGTGTATAAATGGGTACCGGCAAATTTAATGCTGGGAGTAACCCTGTGATGGACTGGCATCCCATCCAGGGGGAGTAGAAATACTCCTAGTTGCTTCATGCTACAGAAACCAGAGTTAAGCACCGGCCTAATGGGCCACTAGGCTCGTAAACGGACTTTACCTTTACCCCTAACCCTGCAGGAGACGGGGCCTACAGTTTACTCGTCCTTATCCGAGAAGACTAGAATATCTATCCATTT